CAGCCACTCCTCGGAAGGAAGGTTGGGCAATCCTACTTCCGTAGTGATACTGCCTCGGAAACCCAAGGAGGGGTCGCTATGAGTCAGGGCTGACTTGATGGCACATAACAACAACAACAACAACCATATATGTACTTAATGTACCATTCTTACTTATTTCTATATTCTATTCTATTTATTTCCTATTAGTTAGGAGCTCTGGTGGCGTAGTGCCTAAGGCATTTGACTGCTAACCGGAAGGCTGGTGGTTCAAACCCACAAGCCACTCCTCAGAAGGAAGGTTGGGCAATCTACTTCCGTAGTGACTGCCTTGGAAATACAAGGAGGGGTTGCTATGAGTAGGATCTTACTTCATGGCAGCTGTGGCGTTGCTATTTTGTATAAATTCTATAAAAATACTCTTCATTGTATAATGTACAGCTACAAGACACTTTTAAAAAAATTCCCTAGCCAATGAAGTTTAAAACATGTTTATGTGTTCTTTCAGATTGTAAAACAACCAATAGTTTTGTGCATTTGTACAGAGGAAGGGAAAGTGTCAACTCTTAAGTAGGTCAGGTTCACTTTGGTGGGATCAGACTTCTGGTATTCTTTGATGCAGAAAAGGAATAGCTAGCCCTCTTCCCAAGGCAATGACCACATCTAATGTATTTGGCAAAGAAGATACATGTATAAATTTTTCACAAATTATGATAATAAATTATAAAAAATAATTATAATAAAATAATCAAAGTGGTAACAATTGACAAAAAGTCAAGAATTAAGGATATCCAGGGCTCTGGGGGTCTGAATTTGCCTATCTTGACTTCTTCAGATCTTTGCTGCACCAGTGATATAATTCTCCCCCCTTTTTCTTCCCCATTTCAGCATGCACTAGAAAAGGGTTGCTATGAGTCAGAATTGACTCTATGGCCGTGGGTTTGTTGTTTGGTTAGAAAGGGTTGCAAGTCAATGCCTTAGTTTTTGCTTTACCTAGAACGGAGGAGAAAATGTGCCTAGCACTCTTGTGCTACCCTCCCACCACAAGGAGGAAGGTTATCATGCAGAAAACCCGCTTGCTCCCACCTCAGGCATGCCCTGCTGTCCCGTGCACCTAACCCTGCCTTCCTTTTTCAAGGAGCATTCAATTTAATGTTTTTAACCCCAAAGCTCTTTTTGTCCTTAATACAAAATAGACTATAGAAATTGGTCAGAGTGTGTGAAACATGCCCAGTCAAGAAGTACAATTGGGAAACAAATATTTGTATGTAACAGGTTTGTAAAAATACACCCTTAATATTTTTTTTCACTTTATTTCCAGATAACTCCTTCATACATGTACTAATTTATCATATATCTTTTTTCTTGAAATATTTCAAGTAGAAACTAAAACTGATGACCATTTATAAGCAAAACTTTGGAAGGAAAAATTAAGTCTCTAATACCGGGGATTCCAACTCTTCTGTGTACAAACTTGATTTCAACTCTTTCTTAGTATTTTGGCCTTGGTTGAGTGTTTCTTAATTTGGGACAAAAATAAGTGTCTCTTGTTGCCCTTTACCACATCACTGAATAGAAGAGAAAATGGAGTCACCTTTATAGATTGAATGAGGTTATTTCCTCTACATCCAACAAATAGTATAAAAAATCCATAGAATCCATAGATGGCTTTAGCTATCATCTACCATAGCAATACTTTTGGCAAAGCAGCTACTTTTCCATGTCATCAATATCACCAGTCTTTGGAACTAAAAGTTGATTTAAGGCACCAATGACTTATTATTATTTTTAACTTGAATTCTCATACTAGACACTGTTTATTTAATATGGTAGTGCTGGTCTTAAATCATCCATTGGCCAACTTTTGGCAGGAGGCAAAAATTATACCTTCTAATCAAATTTCTTTCTCCTCCTCCTTCAGAGGTAATTATCTTAGTTAACTTTACTTTCCTCCCTTTTCTTCACTTCCCTCTCTCTCCTGTTCTAGTGGATATATGGTCTGTGGGATGCATTATGGGAGAAATGGTTCGCCACAAAATCCTCTTTCCAGGAAGGGACTGTATCCTTGTACCTTTTGCTGCAGCTTTACCTGTTTTGTTCTCTCTCCCTTTAAACACATAATGATTTTACCAGGACAATAAAGATAGAAGCAAAAAGTTGGGTAAGTGATGTAATTATGCTTAAAAAAGAAGAAAAAAAAAGTGGTGATCCTTAAAATCTGACCAGTACTGACTTGTTTTAATTACATTTTCAATGGACATTTTTCTTATTTTCTTGCCTGTTACTCAAAATAGTAATGTTTCTTATTTATTAAAATCATAGGCCATCAGAGTCCAAATGATTAAAACATATTTACCTTTGTAATTAGCAAAAAACTCATTGTTTCCAAGTACTTTCCATCTTCTTTCTGAAACTATTTTATGCTTCTGCAACAAATTAAGAACATTTCTCTTTTTGTTGACATTTTAAGCTCTGCCTACAGCTTCATTGATTTCAATTACTTTTGACACTATATCTAGCCCTAAATAGGTCAGTATGTAACATAGCCTCCTAAAAGAATGAACTTCCACATTTAAAAATTATAATTATTACTCAAATTGCTGGAGGTCAGGTGAGTTTAAAATGGGTTCTCCTCACTTGACTAAAAATATAACATATCTTACTTTTCCAACCAAATTTAGAATTTTAAAAAGCAGTGCTGATTTTCATAATATCACTGAGTCCTGCACTAGATTCAATCAGAAATCTCTTGGAAAGCTACCTATGATTTGGAGTTACTAAACAAAGTGCTGTATTTCTTAAATGAACAAAAATTTACTCTCTAACAAAGGAACATGTTTGTGTTGCAATATATAGATAATAAAGTTTATATATTAATAGGAGAATACACTTTTATAAATGCAGAAATACTCTGCTAACAAACACCAGTGCAATTCAAAGTATAATAGTTGATAATTTTATCAATGATGATGCAAGATTGGACTCAGTTTAGTTACTATAATTGAATTTTTTTGGAAATTGGCAATAAACATATGGTCTGTAACTATTAACTATTCTATTAGCTTAATAAAAAAAGGTCCACTAAAGAACCTATTTATTATGTAGGAAAGATTATGATTGTTATTTCAGTAGGAGAAAAGATCAATACTACAAAAATATGACTCAGTAAGAAGTTGATACCACATGTGCATGCATTTATGTAGACATTTATTAATTCTGCTGACTATCAATGAAATATTTTTCTAAATTCCAATAGTAATGTAAGAAAAAAAACATCTTCTGGAACTGTGCTGTCCAGTATGTTAGCCATATGTAGCTATTCAGCACTTGAAATTATGGCTAATCTGAATTGAGTTGTGCCATGTGTATAAAAGGCATATTGTGTTTTGAAGACATAAAAAATAAATATAACATATCTCATTAATAATTTTTATATTGGTTATGTGTTTAAATAATATTTTGAATATACTGAGTTAAATAATATGTATTATTAAAATTAACTTCATCTATTTATTTTTACTCTTTATAATGTGAATACTAGGAGCTCTGGTAGCGTGGTGCCTAAGGCACTTGACTGCTAACCAGAAGGCTGGAGGTTCAAACCCACCAGCCACTCCTTGGAAGAAAGGTTGGACAATCTACTTCTGTAGTGATACTACTTTGGAAACCCAAGGAGGGGTCACTATGAGTCGGGTACGACTCGACGGCACATAACAACAACAATGTGAATACTACAAAAGTTAAAACTATATATGACTTACATTGGTAGCTGCCATTTTTCTACTGGATAGTGCTGGTCTAGAACATGCAAAAACCACATAGCAGCCTTTTATTTATTTATAACCAATCTTAAAATCATAAATATCCATTTGCTCCATGTTCCTTTGCTATCTATACTGTGAAGTATCATTTTCACCACCAAATTTCACATGACTCCTTAGGAAAATTCACTATATAATTTACTTATGTATAGATTGGGAATCAATTGTATTACTAATGTAGTTGAGTTAAACAATATTACAATTCATATTCATTTTTAAATATACAGATTTCATTCAAAACAAGAATTTCTTTCTTTATGCTTGGACCTTTAGAGTATAATATATTTCAGACAAAAAAAGAAAAGGAGACTTTTGTTCCCAAATTCTCAATCTTTACTCAAAAAGAAGTTGCAGTCACACCTCTATAATGCCCTTGTTTGTAGAACAGAAGTCACAGGAGATCTCATTTCCATGTCACATTGTTTTATAGGCCACTTGATTTCCAAGCGGCATGATTATTCACTGAGATTTAATTTAGCCTCTCAGATGTTTGTCAGGGTTGCTCACCTGCTACTTTAACAGCATTAAATTTAAGTCAATAAAATTAGGCAAAATCAAAACATTTTTTAATCTAATGTAACCCTTCAGCAAAACAAGCAAACATATATAATAGCACTAGATAGGTAGTTCTATATTCTTCCCAAAATTATTCTAGAAGCCCTCTTTTTAAAATTCTGTTTATATTTTAGAGGAAAGTTTGGAACAAATAAATAGTGGAAAATCAATATATAAAACTTACATTCATGATAAGTGTGGCCTAAACAATTGAATAAACTCTAATACACAAAATATAGACTGTGATAAGGTTTGCATTCAGTATGCTTTTATCTCATGTGATAACTACATAGAATATCAGTCTTTGATAGCCTCCTGCCTGTGAAAGAGAGAGCCTGAATGCAGACCTTAAGCTAAACAAGGAAGTCAAATTAAGATGTTTATATTGGAAAACTTCTTCAGTTCAATTTTACTTAAATATAGATAAATAATATCCAATTGACATGAATTAAATACTGTTTCTTAAAAAATGTTTCCATTTGAATTTCTTAGTTTATTGTACTGATAATTAAAATTATAATTTGATGTCTTAAGTAATGGCTACTTTTCAAAAATAAGTTTTAGATGCTCCTTAATAAAATTAGCTACATGGGCTTTGTGAATTCTGAGTGGAATTATTTCATTAATCTTTTAATGAGATTATGATTATTTTATGAGCAGGGCTTCCTACCAAAAATCTAGAGATTGAAGCATTGAACTAACTTTGCTAAACCATGGTGATCAGACACAAGAATGGAGATTATTCATGGAGAGAAGGATTATATCAATATTTTAGCATCTTGAAATGAATTCAGACTTACTGGAAGCAATATCAAAGTTTAGGATATGATCATTAATACCATGAAATTTAAAAAACAATCATAAATTCTCTTGACTGACTCAAAATAGTTGAAAATTTTCTATATTGATTTTTTTGAGGCTGAAAAACAATGTGATAATCCTCTATCATCATCATCATCATCATTTCTCTCTCTCTACGGAAGTTTATAATGTTCCCTTTCTTAATCTGAACTTAAAGCAAAAATAATAAATTTCCTAGATAAATCAGGAGATCTTATGAAATTGTCATTGATGACTAAGTTTCAACTCCTCTCTTAGATTAAAACTGTCTTCAAATTTTGAGGAACACTGTGTGGACTTCCTGACTATTGATATGATCCTGATGGTATCACAGGATAGTGTTTTGTTTATTGTATTACAGTGTTGGCTAAGCAAACAAATAAATAAAACACATATATGCTTTTCCATTCATTACCTTGTTAGTTATTTTAATATCCAAATAACATTTATATAACATTTATTTTTATGGTGTAAAATGTTTGTTAATTATACAAACATGTACTGTTATATTCAATTTTCATAATATTTTTATGCTAAACCATATTTAATACCATATATATTTACATAATAAGGAGCTCTGATGGTGCAGTGCTGAAGGCATTTGACTGCTAACCAGGTGGCTGGTAGTTCAAACTCACCAGCCACTCCATGGAAGGAAGACTGGTAAATGTACTTCCATAAAGATTTACTGCCTCAGAAACCCAAAGGGGGTCGTTATGAGTCAGATTTGACTCGATGGTAAGGAGTTTAGTTTTTTTAGTAGGTTTTTTTTTTTTTTTTTGGTTTATGTTTACATAATAGATGTGTAGTATTACTAAAAAATTCCTTAGCCCATGGGAATTTCAAGTTAGAGAGCAATAAATATGCCAGGTCCATCATTTTCTTCGCATAGTCCAAAGACCACATAAAAGATATCAATACATTTGTATTCCACCCTGATTGGGTTCTTTCAATAATAATTCACAGTAAAGCTGTTCTACGATGCTTTCTCTGAGTTTTTTTTTTTTTTTTTTTTTTAAAGGATTGTAGAGTCACTTCCCCAACAATGGCTTGCCATGTTCTTCATTTCTACAATTCTTATACCAGTATAGTTTTCATGAGAGCTTTGAATATGCCTAGACACATTTTCTACCATTCTTTAGACACCTTCTTTCTAGCTCATTTCTCTCACCCCACTTCAAATTGCAGCACCTTCTTTAAGCAAGCCTTATGGTATTCTGATCCAAAATTTTCTGTACCTGCATGATATAAAGACAAGCACACCTTGCTCACTAGAAGATTCTAGACCTCAAATATATTATTTCCAGTTAAAGCTGACAGTTGGACTGCTAAAATACACCCTCTTGCTTTTCCCCCATTGTCCATCAGACATTTCTTTTAAAATGAAATACATTTACATATAACTTTGCAAAGTTTAAAAGGAGCAGGTAAATAATTTGACATATATTTGAACACATAAAGAAAATATCCTCAAGTCAACTGAATTTCAAACATTTTATAGGTTTGAACATAAGAATTAGAAATGAAAATGAAATGAACAAAAATTAGAGGTTACGGAAAATAGATCTGTCTAGTACAGAGTCATTTCTGTCTCTTTCTTACCTTTCTGAAATAACAGGACTTACTTCCTAGTAACTTCTGAAATTAATACATTACTATAACTTAGACTAAGGTGCTCTGGTGGTGTAGTGCCTAAAGCATTTGACCGCTAAGCAGAAGGTTGGCAGTTCAAATCCACCAGCCACTCCACAGAAGGAAGATTGAACAATCTACTTCCATAAAGATTTACTACCTCAAAAACCCAAAGGGGTTGCTGTGAGTCAGAATTGACTTAATGGCAGTG